TACAAAATAATTGTAACCGTTCGGATAACTACCGCCTTAGTGCTGCGTGGAAGCGAATCATCAAATAATACATTATTTAAATGCATGTCTATAAAGGGCAGCATACGGCTATTTTAATACACCAATAGACAGGAAGGACAAGATCAAAGGGCTCGCATAATGCACATGAATAATGTACGTTGACTCAGTAATCCCCTCTCCCCCACTTTCCGCAAGAGCGCAGAAGCGTGGTCACCACATTTACGCCTCTATCTAAGGAACGAAACAGGTGGACTTCTCCACAAATCTGGCTGTCGCCTGATGAAGCTGGTTGTAATTACTGGCGAAACGGTCGTTCTCAGATTGTAAATGTTGTGGCTTGGCTCTCTAACACACCGGTGTTGCTGTACTAGTGACGAATTGGCCACGTTCTGTTTACGTGACAAACCTTACAAGTTGGCTGTGTCGATAGAGTCGACTGTACGTGTCAAATCATCACACTTATTGTTGTATCGATCGTCGGCTGTATGTGTCAAATCATCACACCCGTTGTATCGATAGGGTCGGCCCTGTGTGTAAATCACATCTGGGTCCACTTTTTTTCTGTTCGTTAAATCGATTAACCTGCATTTGTATACAACAGCAGCCGCAACAACAACAGTTTCCGTGTAAATAAGACGACAGCGGAAATAACGCGGTAGGAACGGAGCAATAGATCCCTGGATTGGATGTTGGGGGGGGGGGGGACATCCACAGGTCTATCCCCGGGGCAGGCATCGCTCCACTCGGCGCTGGAATTATTTCGCACGCGCAGCCATCATTCAGTGGCGGTGCAGCGGTCGTGCCCTAGACGCGTCGAATATTCATCGTTGTTGTTGAGGCTTTCGTGACTGCATGAATCCATACTCTTTGGTTCTTTTGGTAAAGTCACGTAGTGGGCCCACTTCAGCATTTTTTTTCTTGCTGTGGTGTTCCCAGCTGATGAGGATTGCTTGTGTTGCGATCGAAACGTCGTGATTTCTTTTATTTTATTTTATATTATTTCATTTCTACCTACGTGACTTTACCGAAAGAACCAAAGAGTATCTTTGTTGTTGTTTGTTGGTTTGCCCGGTGCACGGTCGCAATCTCCATAAAAACCTGCCATGGTCTTGTGAGCGCCACGCAGCGGTACCGATACGTGGAGGCAATGGTGGAGCCAGGATTGTCAGGTGGGGGGGGGGGGGGGGGGGGCAGCCCCTCCAGCAATGAAAAACGATAGAAGAGTTGTTAGTAAGTAAGGACTTGTGCCTTGCTTTTTATTCGGCGCGTGTGTGGCAATGGCGCAGCCATCGATCGAGGGTCGAATTCGAACCGCGTTGTGTGATCGGCATCGCGTTCGCTGAAGGTGTTGATGCCTTCAGGGAAGTCGTGTACTGTAGACGCAACTGCGCACAATTCTGAGTCACTTATAACCGCTTTGCCGTTACTTATTGCCAGTTATGGACTCAGACTATTGTCCTATCATCTCAAATAGTCCCTGGCACATAATAATAATATGCTACACAATGGCAGTGGGGGTCGCAAAATGCCGATTTATTACTAATAAACCCCAATGATCCGATCGAAATTAGGGATTTAGATCGGATCATTGGGGGGGGGGGGGGCACGTGCCACCCCACCCCACCACTGGCTCCGCCAGTGCGTGGAGGAGAAGGGGAGGGAAATAGGGCTCGATGCAAAATGAATGCGAGCAGGGCCTACTACGCACGCCACGTGAATTCGGCGTGTGCGCGTTCACAGGCACCATCCGCCCACCGGTTTACGGAATGAAACGAACCCAAAAGAAAGACAAAGATCCCGCCGTGTAGCCTTTAACAGGCTGTTGGGGCGCGTGCTGTTAGCGAGCGCATAATGAAGGCCGGCACAAGAGGGGGTGAGTGACCAACACCACGCCCGGCCACCTTTGTCTCCACCAGTGGCGATGTTTACACACCGCACCGGGTACTAATTGAGGCCGAGTCAACCTGGAGTGGGGGGGGGGACCCAGGAACGGTTCAGATAATCGTAACCTGGTGTGTCGGTCGCGAGCGGGAATCGAATCCGGGATGTCCGGGTTCCTAGCGCAGCGTAGCGCTAACCGCTCCGCCACCGGTCCCCATACCCAAAATAAAACGCGCACGTGCGCCCATTGTCGAGGGATGCACGCCCCATGGGGAGGCATGACAGCCACAACAACGGACCGAGGGCTTCATTCGAAAACCGTCAAAACAAACCTCTATCTTCTTTTCAGGATAAGAAGGCTCAGCTGATCGAGTCTCTCACCTTTCTGAAGAGATGCCGCGACTCTGGGATAATACCAATCGCATTTACACCGACCTCTGCTGCTGTAACTTCTTCTAATGCGAAACGAATTCTTTCCAGAACTAGCTTAGCTCTTATCTCAGAGAAAATCAGACTTATACGCACCGAACTAGATCAGTTAGACAAGACACTCTACAAATCACACTTATCATTGACGGCAACAATGTCCACATCGGATTGGGAACATGTAGACAATATGACTGCCTCTTCAGCTGCCACAATGTCGACCAAATGTAAGGACAACCTGATTTCCAAATTTAACCTCCTCTCCAACAAAAGACCGGACCCACACACCAAAAAGCAAGACGTTAACAAAGTCATTATTCATCGCAGTAACGGTTCTATTTCCAATGGTCTGAAATCCGTTTTAGCTAAAGGGCTAAACTTTGCAGTCACACCTAAACACATACCAGTTAATGATATCATTGCCCAAGTAGACGTGGCTCTCAAGGGCCTGGGTCACATCGCTGCAGACGTAGCAAGATCTGAAATCGCTGCAACCCTCAAAAACGCTAAGATGCCAGCTAGCAACCTCAACAAAGATGAGCGTTTTTAATTATACAAATTAAAAAAGAGGGATGACATTGTCATCTTCTCAGCCGACAAGGGCAATGCCACTGTCATCATGGATAAAATAGAATATAACAAAATTCAAGAATTACTCAACGATGGCAGCTATACAAAAATAAGAAGAGATCCCACCAACAGCCTCGTCATACAAACCAACAAAATCATTTCTAATTCAACCACATTAATTGATCAAACCAAACAGTTCTCGTTGAAACCTGCTGCCAGGCCACCAAGATTATACGGCTTACCAAAAATACATAAAGTAGATATACCCCTTCGTCCCATCGTCTCTACTATCAACTCCCCCACCTACAAACTGGCTCGTTTTCTGTCTGAAATCCTGCAGCCTTTCACTGGAAAAACCACCTCTGCGGTACAAAATTTTACTCACCTGGTATCGACAATCAGGGGTATTTTTCCCTGTCCCCAGACGACCTGCTTGTCAGTTTTGATATAGTTTCCTTTTTCACCAAAGTTCCTGTACCTGACACCATCGCAATCATTGAAGACTTGGTTCATCAAGGACTAAACACTGAGGTACCCCCCCTGGTGAGACACTGTTTAACCAATACATACTTCACTTGGAATGGAACTTTCTACAAACAAACTGAGGGCACCCCAATGGGCTCCCCCCTTTCTCCAGTTATAGCTAACATTTTCATGGAGAAATTTGAGACTGACGCCATCCAGACTGCCACTCTGCGCCCAACCTTATGGAAGAGGTACGTGGATGACACTTTTGTCATTTGGCCACATGGCCGGCCTGCTCTAGACCAATTCCTCAACCACATCAATTCCATACACTCAGCCATCAGATTTACCATGTAAGTCGAAAAAGATGGCAAGCTACCTTTTTTGGATGTCCTAATAAAAAAGAGACCTGATGGTTCAATGAGCCACTGTCTACAGCTACCCATACGGATGCTTACCTGAAACCGGATTCCCACCACCATTCATCCCAGAAGAATTCCCTCATCAAGATTCTGCACCATAGAGCCCAATGCATATCCGACCAGGAAAACATAGCCAGTGAACTGAAGCACGTACACCAAGCTCTTAAGGCTAATGGTTTACTCCGACTACACAATCCACAAAGCTACCACTCCAACCATGAAGAAGGACCCTCTTGAGGAGCCATTCAAAACCATCACTTTACCCTACATTGCGGGGATCACAAAAATGATCTCCAAAATCTTGAATAAACACAAGATCCAGGTACAATTCAACACATTACATAAAATCCGTGATCTGGTTCCGTCTGTAAAAGATGTGATTCCGGACATACAGTACCCTGGCATCTACAAACTATGTTGCCTCTGTGGTAGTAGTTACATTGGAGAAACCAAACGACGTCTCGGACCGCATTCGTGAACACAAAGCAGACCTAAAACACGGTAGGACCAACACCTCGGCCGTGGCAGATCGTTGTTATAATTCAGTAGGCTCACATGACATTGACTTCTCCAAGACAAAGGTTCTTTGCAAGCCACCTGGCTACCATGAGAGATTCGTTCATGAGGCTATCCACATATACAGAGACAATTTCAACCAAGAAGATGGATTCTGGCTCAGCAATCATTGGAATGATTTGATAAACCATTTCGGGTCTTAATTGATTGTTTACGCTTACGGTGGCTTTCAGACTGCATCCATTATTTTCGTCTCCCCCCTCCTCTTTTCCGAACATAGATGGACTCGTCCATCTGAATAACTGCCAAATCGCTCTCTGTGGCGCTAACGTTAAAAAAACGCCACTTTTCAAATTTTCTTGCTGTGGTTTTCACACCTGATGATGATTGCTTGTGTTGCAGTCGAAACGTCGTGATAATTGTATTGTTTATATTTTTATTATTTTATTGTTTCCCTTCTACGTGACTTTACCGAAAGAACCAAGAATATGAATCCCTGCAGTCACGAAAGCTTTAAATCAAAATTTAAACCTCTATCTATTTGTCACTCAGTCAGGACGTGAGCCACTTGTAATTGAGACGAGTCACTACCATGCGCTGGATTGCAACTGATGAACAACAAACACACGCGGATGGATGGCTGCGACTGCACAAGGCAGCGTGAAACCACGCAAATAACACAAGCGAAGGATTCTCATATTTTTTTGCAAGGTTTTTTTTCCTGTATTTGAGCTCCATTTATTTTAGGAGCGCGCGTTTAGGTGATGGACAAGGCGACCCGCGGGCTCGATTCCCGGCCAAAGCTAACACCAGAGGCGAGCGATTTCAGAAACCGGTCTGGGCGTTTCTCACCTTCAACCAATCCGCACAATCGCCGGTGTAGCGAGGAAGTATGGTCAAACAAACATTGTGACCCAAAAGGTGTCGGGGGGGGGGGGGGGGGTGAGACCTTCATCCAGCAGTGGATTGACATAGAACCGTAACATTACAAAGGATTCATTAAGGATCGAGCCATATTGTCTGCCTTCATACAAACTGCCTTTAACAGGTTGTCGTCTTACAAAGTATCTACGCCTGTACACTTGTAATTGAGACGAGTTACCTCTACAAAATAGTTCCAAGTTTTACTCTCATAAAACCAGTTAAACCACAGTATATAAGCAGCGATTAATTGCGCACGCAAATATGAACACAATTTGCGGAAGAAAAAAAAACATGCCGTCATCCTGCTGAAGTGGTTAAAACCAAATTATATTTTTTGTGTCACGGACAAAAACACTTAATAAAAAAGGCATTTGAGAACTGCAGTAAATACCCATAAGCCTTTGGGTGGCAAAGCACCACCACGTGGAGTGACAGGAGCTCAGACTGTCGGGCTAATACAACGCCTGTTTAATCAGAATCGTTATTTATCCTAGATAAATCCGATGAGCTATGAAGCGCTTTTTCACAGAGGTCCAGTCATTGCTAGGTGCAATTACTGGCGATACGTCGTACTCGAATTGTAAATGTTGTGGGTTGTACTAGTAATAAATTGGCATATTTTGTTCGTGATAAACCTTGATAATTGGCTATGCAGGGTGGTGGCGGGTTTAACGACTCATTCATATTTACGTGATCTAACCCAAAAATCTCTAATCGATGTTAACAGACCGGGCAGTCGTGGCAAGGCTGGCCAAACCAACCAAAAGCTTAGGGAAACCCATATTATTCAAGGGACATTGGATTGAGGCAGAAAACAGGAGTGAACATCAACTACCAGCTCAAATAAATCCTAATGAACACAACACGTGAATTAACATTAAAAAGACAGTAATAATTATTTACATTTGTAAGGACGCATTTCACCCAGAGATCCCAAGGCATCGCCCGCTTCTCTCATCTCACTGCGTCTGTATCTACTGTATCCACCATCTCACTTGGATTTTGTAAATTGAAAGGGGGGGGGGGGGGGGGGGGGGGAGGATTCTGAGACTGTGGCCACGGGACCGAGAATTCTTGGGCTTTTCCAAAACCTCTGGTCTCGCGGAGCGCGGCACTGTTGAATTGAAGAACGTGTTGGCTTAAAGGCACGACCATCCCTACTTCCCACGGTGAATCTTAAATGTTTAAGCCGACTAGCTGCGGTCGGCAAGTTAGGCAGAATCGGATTGGACAGTGTTGGCGAGTTTTATTGGAAACATTCTTAGGGAAAGCCAATTCTACATTTAAAAAAAAAAACTTAAGGTTTTTAATATAAAACTTTACTTGGGTTGCCATCTGTCCCTTGTTCCATCAGGATTCATCCATTGGCGATAGCTGACATGGGAAATCTGCAAGTGTTCCCGGAACACTGAAAGTCACGGTTTTGGTACGTTGTAAAATAGTGATATCGTAATCGTACAATAGTAAAACTTCAAACGATGCACAATAACATTTACAGTACTGTGCGTCTCCACTCCTCTGACATTGCTATTTTACTTCCCATGTCCTGGCTTTTTTTTGTACCTCACAAGGTGGCAACTCCCCCCTCCCCGACATACGTACACACATACGTATGGTGATCATCAATTTTGTTCAGTCGGCTAACTGCAATTGGTAAGCAGAAACCCAACCAAGTCGTAGTCCGGAGGAGCCTTAGGCGAGTTTTACAGACATTTGTAAAAAGAGCAGTTTCCAATTTTTTTTTTAATAAACGAGTTCAACACTGCCGTAACCTCACGCTAAGAAAATGCCATCTTGTTCCGGTAAACAAGTTGAGCAGAACCAGGTCAAGCGTCGTGTCACGGGACAGCCTCGAGACGAGCACGAGGAGCTGCGCTTTTGTGAAGAGACGTTTCGATTTCAACGAAAAGATTCACTGCAACCATTTGGAGCAAAACCATCCACGGCACGGGGGGGGGGGGGGTAATCAAGAAATCTCTCAAGAAAACATTTTAAAAAGCCACCCACAGGCACTTGATTTGATTTTTTTTAAATTTGGCTTAATGGTTGCACTGAACTGGATGTGTTTGTACAAAGTTGCCATTAAAATTCAATGTACCATCATTGAATTTAGGAATTCATGGTCGAATATTTTAATAACCGAGGGCTCCCCCCCCCCACTCCCCTCTAGTGGAGGCCCCTTCCACCCGCAGTGGCCTAAGAAAGCAATTGCAGGACTGCGCCTACACCTTTGTTCAGCTTTTCTTTGAAAGGAAAGATCAAACTTTTAGTTTTACTTACAATATGATTTACTAATACTGGTGTTATAGCTTTTTTGTTTAAAATACATGGGCCATTTTACAGAGGATAAAACATGTTTCAAGAATATTGCAACCATTATACCAACTGATGAATATGAAGCAAATTAAAATGCAGAGCGTATACAATTCCTAAAGTAAGAATATTAAACACCAAAGGAAACCGTGTGAAATTAAATGAAGCAATTTAAAACGAAGGGGTTACACACTGCCAACGTCACTTACAGCACCGTATATGCCAAAAGAGAAATACGATTAAAGGAGATATTTAATAAATGCCATTGGATGTTTAGGCATTGACTCTCGAGGGAAAGTTTAGTTGAGGAGCAAGCGCCTTCCCCGTTCTTTCGAAGCACATGGCATCCACGCTCCCACAGCTTCACTTGCTCCCTGGAAGAGACACGTGCACACAACGCCCACCACCCACACAAACACAAAGATCAATGACAAAGATCCCTCCTGCCGTGCAGGGCTTTTAAGATTAATTAAGACAACACCTATTAAGAGGCCAGCATGGCACATGATGTGCTGGGGTGGCCATCATTACGCCCGGCCACCTTTGTCTCCCCAGTGCTGATGTTGCTCACATCGCACCAGGTACTGATTTTAAGGCTGAGTTGACCTAGGGGAGGGGCCAGGACACGTTCAAAATATTACACCACCAATGTTATTGGTCGCGAGTGGGAACTCAACTGGGGTCGCTGGGTTCATAGTGCAGTGCGTCATCCAGTACACTACCGCTCTCTACTCCATCGTTATGTATGTACGTGAATGAGCAATCATTAAATTAGATCCACATTTTTTACGAAGCTACCGTGAACAAAAAAGTCATAACATCCAACAGAAGAGGGCGTTTGGTGATAAGCGAGCAAATTGTTACCGGCACAGTCGTAAGTGATATTATTTCAGCACATCGCAAAATAACTTTTAAGATCTCAATTAATAATTTCCACAACGCTGGAAGCAATTCCGGTTGCTGTGGCAGGTTTGGTTTTTGTTAATCAGCCACAACACCGGGAATGGCCACAATGGGTGAATTTTCTAAGGAGCGTGCAACTTCTTCAGTAAGAATCCAGCAGCAATCTCACACCGAGTTACCTCTCGTGGCCATCCTTTCTTTTTTAATCTTTGAACTATCATTCCAAAGTCACGCTCGTCTTGTTCGCGTCGCAAGGCCAACGAATTTCCCATTCGGAACTCTAGCAGCTGGCAGTGCACCACCTTGTGATGAAGTTCTCCCCTCGTATTTCGTCGTACGACGACTCGACTTGTAGCGTCATTTTTTTCCCCTTCCAGTGATGCAAACATCTTTTGACTTGCAGAGTTTATTAAATCACATGCCAATCAAATATGTCAGAGATGATATAACTTAATGCTACAATTATTATTTTTTTCTCTTGCAGTCATTGGTGATCGGGCTGAAACCATTGTGGTTCGCCACACTTTGATGCTCTGACACCGCATTCACCAAGTCAACCTTTGGTATGGCACATGTGCAAACCAAGACTTAAATCTTGCCTGTGGTCCAAAGCATTGGGTGCATTTTCAAATGGCAGTGGACCGCAAATAAGGGAGTTTCCAGACCTTGGGGGCATCAGAGGAGAGCGAGTGACCTCCCCCTCCTACTGAGCATAGGTTCTCACTGGCGGCTTAAACGCAAAGCCTTGGCGTGGCTGGAGTGGAGAGAGTGCGGGCGCGTGGAGAGCGAGATAAGGCGAGGAGGAGAATTAATTGACATTAAACACAGAAGACTAAGATAGTGGAGCGAGCAACACGTACGGTAACACGCCTGCCCTCGGGCCGTCTCAGCTACTTTACGAGTCGGAGAAATCGATGGGGGGTACACCGTGGGTAACAGGTTGTGGCGAAGGGCATTCGGAAAAGCTGGGGTGGCGGGGGTGGGCGGGCACGGGGGTTGCCGTTCTCACCCGACATGCCCGGCGAGATTATTGGTAGCGTTCAGGCTTCGCGGGAGGGGCGTTGTCGTCTTCCCCGTAGCCCTTGTTGGTGTAGTGCGTCTTGTAGGCCGAGTGGACCGTCCTCAAGGGGGGAGCTTCCACCTGGGTCGGCTTGGTCAGCTCCTGGGTGTCGCTGCTAAGGGGGACACAGGGGCGGGGGGCACGAGACCCGAAACGTCGTCAGGACGCGCTGCTGCCTTCTCCTCTCGGGACGTGAAGATGGCAGACCCCTGGTAAACCTGAACTCGAAACTTATTTTTCATCGCACGCAGCCAACTGTGCTAAATCGGGAGGCAGGCAGAAGTAATTCTAACAACTCGCCCTCCTCCCAGCAATTCATCGAATTGTTACGAGGATTTAGGGTCACGGTTTGATTAAATAAAATGTTTGTCTCGTTCGAATTGGTTTTGTTTTCCCAATTAGTTTAAATGTGAGTGTACCCTTTATGGAGCGTCGCACAATGTGTAAATAACCTCCTTGACGTTTATCTGTGTATCCAGCCGTTTTAAATGTTGCAACCGTTGCTCCATATCCGATAACGGCGGTCTTTATGCCGTAATGCCTGCATGAATTCATGCCAGAGCCGTGTGATTGGTGTTGCACACTCCTGCTGGGGGAAGCGATTTCACGAAAGGAATCCACTTCGTTGAGCTATCATTTGCGGTCAGGTTAGTTCCAAGAAAAATAGCTACATAGATCAGTGGTGTCTTTTTTTTTCTATCACATCACGGTATCTTTAATGTGCATTGTGAAGCAGACAGCTCGAATCTTGCGGTTGATGCGCACCGTCGCTATTAAACAGGGAGGTCGCCAGACCCAAACCGCAAGCCTCTGCAACAAGCACTGAACTCGCTTTCTGCCGAGCCACGTCACCGAAGCATGCCAACCCCCGTGACAACTCGCCGCTTTACATCTGAGAAATATATCTATACGACTGTGGGCCTTACCTGGTAACGTAGTTTAATTTATACTTTTAAGTTCACGTTGCCGACGGGTTTGGCTGTCCGTCCGCAGCCACCAACCACTCCCCCCCCCCCCGCCCCCCCCCATGTAAACGCGTGCGGTGCGCGCGTGCCGATGATCCGTGCGCGCGAAAGCACCCCGCTCACCTGCACGCCTTGAAGATGACCACCAGGAGGAGTGCGGCGAGCAGCAGGAAGAGCAGCGTGCTGAGGACGGCGGTAACCACCACCATCCCACCCGTGCGTTTGCCGGGCCACGTGTTGATGGTGCTGGCCGCTGGCGCTAGGCTCGTCGAGTCGGTGGGGGGAGGGGAGGGGGAGCGGTGGCGTAGCGGTTAGCGCGCTAGAAAATCCGGGGACCCGAGTTCGATTCCCGCTCACGGGCAACACCCGCGACAATTATCTGAACTGGTCGTGGGTCTCCCCTAGGTCGACTCGGCCTCAAATGAGTACCTGGTGCAGTGTGTAAAGGTCACCAAAAGGGAGGACACAAAGGCGACCGGGAGTGGTGCTGGCCTCATGCCCTCGTGTGCCGTGTTGGCCTTCATAGGTGCTCGCTAACAGAACTTTTCTCAAGTCTGTTAACGCGACATGGGGGATCTTTGTCTTTGTGGGGCGGGAAGGTTCGCTCAACTTAGTTTAGTCGTGAATACATGTTACAAATCTATGTCAGGCGGATCTACAAACTTTCCAGGGAGGGATGGAGGTGGAGGGGGTGCAGTCCCAAAATGTCAAGCTTTTTTAAAGAAGACCCCACAATAATAAATGTATTTTATCTGGTAAAAAAAAAAAATCTATAAAATACCAATTGCCAGGGTCCTTTGGATCTGCCATTGCTACAAATGGTCAATAATAGAAATAAGAATGGGAATTGTTGAACTCCCTAGAGTATTTGGCTGCTATAAATTTCCACATAAGCCACTTCATTGAGCGATCATTTGTGGCCAGGTCGCTTCTGAAAGAAGAGCTGTATAGCTCAGTGGGCCTTACCTGGTAAAATAAACAATATATAGTTTCGTTTTAACTGGTGGAGGTCACATAACCTCCGAGAATGCTGCCTTCTTGAAATCCCAGCTGCAAAACCGATCTTTTAACAAAGAAACTCCACCTAGTCCTAAGTCAGAAAGAGAGCCTTTGATGCGTTTTACAGGATACATTTGTAAAAGGGCAGTTTCCATTTTTTTAAATAAACACGTTTTCAACATATTTATTTTAGCTCAAATTCTGCCACACCCAGTTCTTTCTTTAATAAGTCCTTTTCATTCATCGCACGTTGAGACTGTGAACGATGCCTTATAAATGCAATTAATATACATTTTGAGGGTTGAGTCTTATAAAGGCAAAACTGTACAGTATGTCAACATAAAAAGTGACAAATCGAGAAAAAATAATAAGTTTGCCGACTGGTTGGTCGACACTTGCACAGTATATCAATTTGGGTAAACCTCAGATATGGAGGCTCCTTGCAATTGGAACACTTGGTCGCCAATGACAAGACATTGCAACGTCATTTATTTAAGCATGAAAGCAGAATTAATTCTCAAGACTCATCAGGCGGGTCCTGGATTGGGTTGTGTTGGCCAATTCTATTTTAAAGGAGCGCTTGGATTCATGCGGAAGGAGATAACTCACTCCGCAGAGATGGGTTCACAAACTCGCTTGCGTTACTACGATTTCCTAGCCACCTCACGACCCATTTGGGTTTTCGATTTTCACGAGTACCTCCCGTCAACCACCAACCCTTGCGCCCTTCTATGCGTGGCCGAGCTGTTAACACATCTGCCTCCTCAATCAGCAGTACTGGAGGTCACGCAAAGGATAATTTCCCTTAAAGGGAAAACCAAAAGCCCGGTGTGAAATGTAAAAAAAAAATAACAGCATCCATACTGGGTCAATAACGAATTACCGCATTTGTCACTCATTAGATGGAAAATAAGAGCCGAGACCTGCATAATTCACGAGGTCGAGTTATTATGAACCGCACACACTTTGCAAAGGTTCGTGTACATCTGCGAGACTCTTCATATGTATTTCCACAACCACCGATGAAATAGCGAACACTCGGACAAATGACAGCAAACGCCGTTCAATGCGCGAGAGCATTAACGGAGAGAGACAAAATACAATTAACCACCATTTCCAGACGCCCGGGAAGTCGAGCTCCAAAATAACAGGCGTCAATAAATGTCCACGACACGGTGCAGATTGAAAAGAGATTGAGGCAGACATTTATGACACTCAACTTAGAGGATTAAATAGTTTAAGCGATTCAGATTTTAAAAAAGAGAGAAATCTAAGAACGTGAACCACTTGGTATATAACCTTTATGGTTACGACCACAATTTACACGCTTGTAAAATTTCCTCGGCCAAATTATTATTATATTATTCATGTCCAGTGTAAAAATATATAAAAGCAGGCGCGGTTCCTCCACTAGGGGCGTTGGGGCGTCGCCCCATCAAGCAACAGGAGATGCGATGTAATATTTCTAATATAAAAACACTTTCCTATAAATAGTTTTGTTGTGTTGAAAGTAATACAAATATAATTATTCTTTCAACGTGAATTGCATTATGAAGAAAACATTTGAAGTTGTTCATATTAGAAACCGCTGCAACACCAATCCGATTTGTGCCTTGGGGAGGTCTCAGGGTGGCTGTGAAGGCGTCCGAGTGAGAGATTTCCCGTCATTCATTGCAATGAGCTTCGCAATTTAGCCGCGCCGTTTGAGACTCATTTGGGGCGGTGGAAAAGGCACCCATGGCTGTAATGACGATGTCACAACGCTAAGTTGCACTGTCCAAATATAGCAGGGCATGGCCTACACGCTCTAGGAGGGAACAATAGCAATGGCGATTGACAGCAGGTGCAGTAAACGAAGAATTAGCAGCGAACGCTGTGGGAGTCACTCCTAAATGGTCCATTTGAAAGGATGAAAGGGTTGTGTAGTGTGAGCCTCGAGGGTCATGGAGACAACATTTGAGTGCTGTTGTTTTATCGTCTTTGGTTCTTTCGGTAAAGTCACGTAGAATGAGAATAAAATAATAAATTGATAAAATAAAATAACACAATAATATCATTGCAGTCACGAAAGCTTTAAATCGAAATTGCTGTTGTTTTGTTTCGTATTTTTTATAAACGCCTACCGTTGGTAGATACAGTTATGTCACTTTCACGGGAAGGCCATTATAACATGACGAGGTTTTTCTTAATTAGAACACCATATTTTTCAGAGGTTACTCACAACAGCCCCACCTAGTAGAAATGTCACGGAGCCACCACTGTATAAAAACCATCCAAAATTTCTGGGAGGCTCAGCCCAGGGGGACACTTAGTGATCTGGCAGCCCCGCCCATTTTTTTTAACATAACCACGCCCATTAAATCAAGAGTCCCCGCCCACAGTTAAGTGGATTCACTCCGACGTGAGCAGAGCCCCACTTGCTCAGACGCTGCCCCCCACTCGTTTACCAAATCCCCAACCACTACTCACGTAGTCCCACCACCCTTGGCCCAGAATCGAGAGAAATTCCCAAAGGTATTTGAGAGCAGCCTTTCCAAAACTGCCATGGGGACCAATCCCAGCCACACCAGGGAAGGTCTGCTAAATCGCATAAGGACAGTGGCCAATTACAATTAAAAACGAACACTCCAATTAATTAAATTAGGAAAAGCACCAGGTGAGTGTGGACTTAATACAGGTTCTTACAAGTTGAATCGCGTAAAAATATAAATGTGCCGTTAAACCCGCCACCACCCGACACAGCCAATTAGTAAAGGTTGTCACAAACAGAACGTGCCAATCCGTTACTAGTACAGCACACCGGTGTGTTGGAGAGCCAAGCCACAACATTTACAATCAGAGTGCGACGTTTCACTTGTAATTACAACCAGCGTCATCAGGCAACAACCAGATTTGTGGAAAAGTCTACCTGTTTCGTGACACCCCTTACGAATTGGCTGTGTCGTGTGGTGGTGGGTTTAACGACACATTTACGCAATCTAACCCAAATAAAAAAACTTGTATTATGATTTTGGTTGTGAAAGCCTGTGTTAAACCGAGTTGTGCACTGTACGGAGGTTAATAGAGAGGGCGTTATGGAGTGTTGATTGGAACACGTCATGTTTAGTGTTACTCACATTTCTTTGTGGAGACAGGGTCTGACCAGGGAGTTTGATCCACAATAGTTCTGGGAAATTGGGGAGATTCTTCCGAAAGTGTATATTTCACTCTGCAATAAAAAGCATCAACATAAGACAATTGCCGTGAAGAATATAGTATTTCTATAGAAAATATAAACAGATGATTTTACCATTTGCATAACAAGCGCCACATTTCCAGGATAGCTTTCTTGACATTCATATTTTTCATTAACGAATCTTGTCCTATGCAGCAGTAGTAATTTAACACAAAGCATGCTGCATCACTGACCACTGCAAAACAAGTGTTGAACACTTGGATGGCTTTCGTGATTAAATACCGTAATAATAATGTATTCTAGTATCTGTTTCACACGTAGGCTTTCGCGACCAATATTATTCATAATAAAGGTTTTTGGGTTAGATCGCGTTATTTCTAAATGTGTCGTAACCCTCCACCACCAGACAAGGCCAATCAGCAAAAAAGTGTCACGTTGACAAAAGACAAATGGTTCACTACTTTAGCCCACCGTGTGTTGAAGAGTGGTTCCACAACATTTACAGTTTGAGTACGACGTTTCGCTGGTAATTACATCCAGCATCATTGGACAATTCGCCAGAATGGTAAAGCCCTCACTTGTCGGCAGTGGCAGAACATGCTTGTCAACAAGGACACTCAATTGATTTTGATAACGTTGAAGTGTTGTGCAGAACTAATTATTACTGGCCAATACTTAGAGAATCCATTGAAATTGAGAGAAATATAAATTTAATCGCTCTGACAGCTACAGGCTTAGTGCGGCTTGGAAGCGTATTATTAAATACATTACAATTCCTTATAGGGGGAACACATACTAACGGATTACTAACGTAGCATATAATCACAATAACACACATTACAACAAATTACTAATCTACAACTCATTACTAATCATAACTATTGAGTGATTACCAATCGATTATATAATTACAATACCCCCCCCCTCCGCCTCAAATCACTGCACCTGAATGAGTTAAATGATGACGTCACCCCGCTGCTCGATTTAAGACCGGGAGCAAGTGAGGGCTTTACCATTCTGGCGAATTGCCCGCTGATGCTGGATGTAATTACCAGCGAAACGTCGTACTCAAACTGTAAATGTTGTGGATTCACTCTTCAACACACCGGTGGGCTAAAGTAGTGAACTAATTGTCTTTTTTCAACGTGACTCTTTTGCTGATTGGCCGTGTCGGGTGGTGGAGGGTTATGACACATTTATAAATAACGCGATCTAACCCAAAAACCTTTATTATGTATTCTAGTATCTGTCGACCGAATCGTGAAATGAGGCACGTATTATTGTTACATAATCCAGAACTGTACGGACATTAAGGTACAGTTCATATGAAATTGACCCTGAAAATATAGTACATTGTTCCGGCTGGGCTATACGATTATTTAGGTCATCGTTAATAAGGGTCAAATCACTCAATTATTTGAATGACATATAGGTGGGGGGGGGGGGGGGGGGGTATCCCCTCCGTTCCCAGATTTGACTGAATGAGAAGTGATTGGAAGAGTTTGACAAGGTCATCGGCATGATCAGCTGCGTCACGCTGGGTTAGCTTGGAGGCGGGCGGGGGCGCTTCCTTTGGGAGCATGGATGTCTGGGCAGCCATCATTAAAAAAGAGAGGGCCCTAAATAGTCGATCACAAAAGAGTAGTTTCTAATTTTGTATTCGATTAAAGCGACTGATATTGTTAGCTCTAAATATTATTTAATCAAATTAATGAAAAATCTATTACTATCCTCAATGCACGCATAAAATCACGAACTCGGGAATAAACTGCTGTATTTTGAACGTACTCAAATTATGTGAAAAATTATCGCCTAAAATTGGACAGGAGGCCGTCACTTCAATCCCAAGCATGAGAGCCCCATGCTAACCAAGACAAAGAAAAAGACCCCCCCCCCCCATATAGCTCTAACAGGCTGTTGGGGCAAGTACTGTTACACGAACACCTATGAAGGCCAGCACGGCACACGACGGCGGGTGGTTAAAACCAATGCCCAGCCGCCTTCGCCTCCCTCGTGGTGACATTTAAACATCGCACAAGGTACTCATTTCATGCCGAGTCGACCGCGGGGAGGCTCAGGACTGGTTCAGATAATCGTCATCGGTGTTGGCCGTAAGCGGGAATCGAACTTGGGTCGCCAGGTTTGTGACGCAGCGCGCTAACGGGTCAGACGACTGCCCCCCATCCCCCCCATCCCATGCCAACCGCGCGCTACGTCACCAGCATTGCTCCCTCCCCCCCGCTTGCCCCACCACGAGGAGGCGTGTCGCCACCGTGTTTGTCGTGCAGATTCACCTGTACTTCATTCCGGGTACGAGCGGTCCGTTGCATACGGACGTACTGGGCCCTATGCTGTTCACGCAGGCCGTGTCGCCGCCCAGACGGAATGTCGCGTTCGTTTTGACAGCCATGGCGTCGTAAATGCTGGGTTGACTTGCACAGTCCGGAACTTTGAATGTGGCTGCCAGGTACGGACTGGGCGACACCGCGTTAGTCCAGTAGGAGGAGAGCACCGCGCCGATTGAGTTGTCGAATGCATAACCTGGAGATAAATTGAGAGACGTTGAATACAAGTTGGCACAAAGCACGCATTCGCACGAATCACGCGTATCCATTGGATTACATGATGCTTTATACATTGCGCATTTGACGTATGGGTAAAAACGCATTTGCATATTTGAAAAGTATTTTGTGCCACCAAAGATTTTGCATGCACTTCCACGAATCTGGTCTATCGCACCGTATGCAAACGCCATGGCCTCCACTACTTTGGAGAAATTTGCAAATGCGGAGGCAACAGATTTGGCCAACATCCTTCTGCGAGCTCTCCACACGAAGTCCAAACCAGTGGCTCGTCACTCAACAGTACAGAGTACAGACCACAGTCCCGCCCCCCGCCCCCCCCCCCCCCCCCCCCCCCCGTGACATGTCGGTACCTGGCCTCCACTTAATTTCTGGTGGGAATGGGACCAGAAAAACAAGACAGTCCATGGCTTTCGAACTGAATACAATTAATTTGGGATTACCGAATTAACAACTCATCTGCACTTAACACGTAGTTTTATTATTGAGTGATATACAAACCTTACTCCTTTGGAGGGCCATATGCAGTGTTTCCTCCTACAGGAACACATTGTCTTGCATAACACATTTGATTTCTCGGTAAAATTGGACAGCGAGGGGTAAAAATACACTAGAACTAGGTCTTGTTTTCAAGTCTACTCTCCTGTGAATTCCTCTACCCTGCTTGCAACATTGAGGAATTTTAAACATTTCTTCAAAGCACCTTTGATCCTAATATTTATTTAAAATCTCCACTTCCATTGCAATGAGTCACCAAGTCAACAATGGGTCCCTCTCTTCAATAAAGACACCACACTGCAACATGGCGACCCACAATGCAATGTTCCAGAAACATTCTAAATGTAATTTGAATACAAATAACTATGCATACATAGATGTTTGTTTATTGAAGGGTGTGTTGCTCAATATCCATAATAAAAAAGGTAACTATTTATATGCCAATTTAAAATTGTTCCTTTTCATTATTTTCAGAGCCTCATGGCAGATCATGCACTTTCCACATGATTATTCACTCGACCTCTCTTTCTGTGTGCTTTGAAGAAGGGTCATGACCCAAACCGTCACCTATTATAATGCCTCATTACAGAGGGATATAGTGCCAACCCTTGAGTGCTACATCTTGCTTTCAATCTCAGGTCGGAAGGCATTCAAAATACTTTACCATAAAAAAACTATCATAATTGTCATGCAAGTGCAATTTGAGGGTAATTGCAATGAATTTGACCCCAGATGTCCACGAAAAAATGTGAACACACTTTTTTTTCTATGATATCATGTAATTAATACTTGAATGTTCTCCATTGTGAAGTACTACGTGACGAAAATATTGCTGTGAGTGGACTTTTTTTAAACTGGGGTGTAAATTCAGTAGAGTTATGCGAGGAATGTATGAGCGAATGAGCTCCATTTTCAGAATCTTAAAACAAACTATTGGGCGATTCTACATTGGTAGTGGTGGTCAAGCACAAATAACTAAAATTCTGAACGCATTCATCAATAACAACAACACTGCCTTAAATCCCAAAACTTTGGACCGTTGAAGCAAAATTCTTTGTAATCTGCACTCCTTCAAATGGAGAAGTAAAATTACACGAACTCTCTACTGAAGCTAACACCCCCCCACCCTCCCCGGACATTAGCATCTTGCTCCTGAAGGCATATAAATATTTGTTTTTGTAAATCTATAATCAGGTGAAGTATTGGGCGTGGCTTTCTTCAGAGCGAGCGCATTCAAATAAATGGAGCGTATCAATGGCCTTTCGTTGTCGCCCATGTGTGCGCTATGAAGACAGCCCATTGGTCAAAGCGTTGCACATTCATTTTCTTTTTTAGGGCCACGGCGCTGTGGACGACCGTGCCCCCGAGCGTGTGCATGTGCACCCACCGCCAATGCAGTATCACTTAATAATGAATTTAATCCTTAGGTGGATTCGTGATGTCCATTATTCACAGCATCGTGGAGGGATGAAGCTAAGCGAGGTAGAGTGGAAAAGAGTTGGCATCATGGACAAGGTGTGTGTATAGATATATATGTTAAGGATATGGTGTAGAAAGTGTTAAATTACTGCCTCCAACCCTTAACCATTCTGGCCTATGTTGCCATAAACGAGGGGCACTGCCAAAAATGTCGCCGTTTATAAATCGCTCTCCTGGAGAAATAACTCCAAAACGTTAGGATGAACCACAGGCGAGTGGGCAAGACAGCCACGCAATGAGCCTTGCCAACAATTGCCCAAGCTCTGATCTTTTATATACGAGGGTGTAATCAGCCAATTTATTCGTGTTTACAATGTGGCAGGACACCGGAACACCTGGAGCAAACCACGCATGCTTGGGGGAAACACAATCTCATACAGATAGAACTGGGTGGAGTTCACATGAGTAAATGTGCCGCATTCTCCTGGCAAGCCAAGGTATGACCTCAACATTTTGCCATTCACCAACCCTGACTGACGGATGTGCAAAGTTTCCACTGCTGGACGAGGGCCTCCCAATAACATATGGGTCATGTTGGGGAAGAGGGGAGGGGTGATTTGACCGTACTTCACCACACTGGTCAATGCAGATTGTAGAAGGAAGTGCAGCAATGGATGTTGTTGCCCACTACTTGTGTATTTTTTTACAAATATATGTAATTCTTCATTGATGAGGTAAGAAAGACCACACCCGAGTCTGTGCTCTCAGGTTGCTTTGGTGAAAAGTTGGAAACATCCTTGCCCAATTCTGGCCCATCTGGCTCGCAACTTAATACATCTAATAAACGCTACATTTTTTGGAATGCAAGGCTCACATCAGTCTGCAATACACCCTGAGATATGCGTGCTGGTCGTCCATCCACTGGTTCAGGGGTCGGCAACAAAAAAGAGCCATTTTTACTAATTTGGTAAAAAAACGATATTTCAAGAGGTCCATGTCATAGGAATTCGAGACTGTGATCCTTAATAAATAACGTCACAAAACGGTCCTTATAATAAGCCGCATGCAACTACGGATCTGCAGGTTGCCAACCTCAGCCCATGGTCGGCCGACCTCTGCCCACGGTCAAGGAGTTAGCAACCAAAATAATGAGGCTTTTTTTTTTCGAATTTCAAGAGCCGAACTGCAGTCCTTAAATGAGTCTCGCGCAGCTCCAGAGCCGCAGGTTGCCGACCCCCGCGCTATTTTAGTTGATGGGGCCCGACTTCGGTTTAAATGCCGCTTGGCTTCCGAGATAGGGTGCACCTCAGTGGTCTCAGGCCTCCAAAGCCAACGACGATAAGAGGAGGTTCGAGAGCCGCTTACTGTTGTTGGTGATGGACGCGTAGACGTCCACGACGTACTGAGTGGTGGGAACGGGCTTTTGGAACACGCAGAAGGGCTTGGACCACACGATCGTCGTCTCCGTCGGGTTGTACGGAACGGCCGTCGAGCTCACGAGTTGAGGCTTGGTGCCGCTGCCTGAAACCACGAAACACCCCCAATGATAAACACCACATTTGCGCGTTAGAATCCAGTGGGTGCACTCCGCGCGTCTCTGTCTTTGTATAGCGGTTAGCGCAGTGTGCTACGAACCCGGCGACCCGAGTTTGATTCCCACTCACGGCCAACACCAGTGACGATTATCGGAACCGGTCCTGGGCTTCCCCTAGGTCGACTCGGCCTCAAATGAGTTCCTGGTGCAGTGTGTAAACATCGCCACTAGAGAGACAAAGGCGGTCGGACGTGGTGCTGGCCACCCATCCCCTCGTTTGCCATGCCTGCCTTCATAGTTGCTCGCCAACACCACTTGCCCATACAATCCGTTCAAGGCTATACGGGGGATCTTTGTCTGTTTTCTATGCGAGATCACCCCACCCTCCTTAAGCCACAAGGTTTACAGATGATTACATATATTTTTTATTTAATCGAGTAAATTTGGCAAAGTATTGAAGACCATCTTTGCTCAAAAGGAGCGTGGGGTGGCGCGCAGCTTGATTTTCGGCCCCGAGCCAAGTTTAAATTCCACATTTCTATGGCATGGAGCAGTCCAGATAACTTTTTCTACACCCCGGTCAAAAGGTGAAGACGCGGCCCTGCAATTGCCCGCTTATGCTACTGCTGGCTGGAGGCGGCAGATGCGAGTACTCAGATTTTACCCCACTACACTGAAACATGCCGGTTGACGAGCTGCGGCTCAACCCTTCACGCTGCAGCGTGGACAGAGGTGGTGCAGAGAGAGGCTGTAAACAGAGGATTAAAGGAGCTTGTGCCATTGTGTCAACTGGCGCGCCCGGAGACCGCATTGAACTGGCCACCTCTTGGACTGCAAGTCCAGAGTGTTCACCTAATAATTAACACCGCCGTGGGTACCCTCCCTGTCCGTGTGCGTTTGTTGTGAAAATTCCACATTGCTATTTGCAGGGTGGCCGCTTTTTCCGTAGAAGCCTTCAAATATATTTAATGAAATTGTCAGGACCTGCCCCGCTCAACAGAGCATGGGTGGTTTCATCATACCCATTCGGTGGCCGTGATGCCGTGGTGGAAATTCCACACTTATGGTGAAGCCAGTCTCATCCAATGTGGGACCAACCGCAAAAGGTGATGCTAATTATATCATTCCCAGAGTTGATGATGACTCATACAGCTATGGCGTTCATGATTATATGCAGTACATACATATATCCAGAATCATATATTCAGTAGACGTATTTACTGGTTTAACAACATTTGAAGACAGCACGTCCGTATTATAAAGTGCGTTCATTAAATACACAAGAAAAAAAGCACGTTCCATCCAAGCAGTTGTATTTACGGGCGATAAATGCTTTAATGGCTCATCTGTTAAAATCGGTATTGTATTTATTTTGCGTAATTCATGTGACACGTGAATAGTGCTCCAGAGAACAAGATACCGACAAAACGTATACACGCGGTGTTGGGCTGACGCCAAAGCCCAACATTAATGTAAGAATCACATCATCGAGCAGTGTGAAAACGTTAACTTTTAAATGAACCTCTCAAGAGCAAATAAACAAAACGCACAAAAAACAAATCCGCCACGTAAAAAGAGGCCCATTGACCCATAAAAAAAATCACCTGTTATATGTTATCCCTCTACGGAGCAAGTGTTGCCGAGGAACGCGTAGGCAGGGGGATAGCCAGCGAGCACAACATTCACAAGCCATTGCGAGCCAACAAGAACAAGCATTGGCGACGCGAAGTTTCACCCTTACCAAGGACAGCCAATTCCACGCCGGCGACGCACGCCAGGAGAACCACGAAGGCAGCTTCCACTCCGAGGGCCATCGTTCCCTGTCACGTCGCACGCGGCTCGTTTGTCGGCGCTTGCTCCAACCACAGCTTGGGAGATTCGGGGGGGGGGGGGGGCGCGTGCCAGCGAACGAACGAACGAGGAGGAGGTGGAGGAGGAGGTGGAGGAGGTGGTGGCGGCGGCGGCGGCGGCGGCGGCGAGCGAGGCGAAGTCGCAAGGAAACCCCCCACCCCTACGCTGTAAAAAGTCGGAACACAAACCCTGTCCGACGAGATCCCAGGGCTTTATAGGGCCACACCCAGAGAACCGGGGGTGGGGGAATGGGCCCTGACATCATCATCATTACATGGCCTGAAACACACCTGTGTCGGCAGCATGTTAACGTCTAAGTCGGTAGCGTTGTCGAAAATAATTATTCAAAAAATAATAGCTAATAAAAGCTTTTTTTTACCCCAGGAAAGCCATGCTGAGTCGTAAGAGTATTTTTCAGGAGGGTTCTTGCGCTAAGGTTTTCATCGTAATATGTTTTCTATTCATCGTGAGATGTTTTGAGACTTTTCGGGTCTCCGTACAGATTAGAAACAGACGGAAGTTTTTCTTTAATTGGGTGCAATTGCGAACAACGGCCATATCAGACGTTAGTACATCATCTAATCGGCATAATCGTTGGTTCGTTGCAGCTCAAAGACTCGGTGCTACAAGTCGTGCGGTTAAGTTAGGAGATGTCCGTGTGTGGGCGTGTGTGCGCTCATGGTGTAGCGGTTAGCGCGCTGCGCTATGAACCCGGCGACCCGAGTTCGATTCCCGCTCACGATTATCTAACCCGGTCCTGGGCCTCCCCTAGGTCGACTCAGCCTCAAATGAGTACCTGGTGCGATGTGTAAACATCGCCACTGGGGAGACAAAGGCGGTCGGGCGTGGTTCTGGCCACCCACCCCCTCGTGTATCGTTCCGGCCTTCATAGGTGCTCGCTAACAGCACTTGCCCCTACAGTCTGTTAAGGCTATACGGGGGATCTGTCGGCATTTGAAGGCCTGAAGACGAGCATGGGAGATTTCGCCGACAATGTGTCCAGGGAGGCACTTCCATATCCGGATAGCAGAGTGAAGGCAGCTCGTTCTGGCAGCTTGGGAGGGGGGCAATGTCGAAAATGTTTACTACACTTGCTGCCCTCCTCGACGCCCACGGGGAAGGGATTCCACCACCACAACGTCTGTGTGTGCGGTGATCCACCAAACCCCTCGCTGCTGCCTCCACCACAATTTTGGATTACAGCAGCCACCGCGTTTGCTATTCTCGACACCATCGTTGCCACCAGCGGCCAAGGGGACATTTTAGCTACGGTGGGCAACGGCCATTGCGAAATCTTGCACTACTTTCCTACTGCTAATAATAGTGCAGTATCGATATTTGAATTAGGGGATGGTTTTTGGTGCGTGACGAAGATTAAAGGTCATCCTTCGGTATGGGTGCGGTATTTGTTTTGAGCCATAGGCAGGTAAATAGTGGCGACGATGGCGTAGCGTACTCCACACGCGGCTCCTGTGAGCCACGAGAAGAGTGAAACGAAAGCCACCCCGACGCGTGTGATGATTACGCAAAGTGCCATCTTCATGGCTACTGGGAGAGAGGCCGTGTCGGCGAGTCCGTGCGTGTTTTTGCATAAGCGTAAGGTGAAGTTCTCAAAACTAGACTTCGCTCTTGTTTGGCAATTAAAACTGTTAAAGCTAAACTTATTTGATTTATTTGAACAGGTAAGACCCACTGAGCTATATATCTATTTTTTCAGAGGCGACCCGACTATCACAAATGATAGCTCAATTAAGTGGCTTATCAATGTGGAAATGTATAGCAGCCAAATGCTCTAAACGCGTGACGTTGATTCTAAATGCGAGGGAAAAAAAAACGGAGGACCCGGAGAAAAATCCACGCAACCACGGGGAGAGAGACACACAAACTAGCAAATATACAACAGGCGTCAGGGTCGGGATTGAACCCACGACCTCCTGTATACCAGGTGAGCTGGGTAACATCTCGCCACCGTGGCAAAGGGAGCGGTGAGTGATCTCCAAAACGGTCCTGGGCACCTCCACCCCCCTAACCAACAAGCCCAGACGGACCGGCGTAGTGAAGTAGAGTCAAACAACCAACACGATCGATACGACATGGGGAGGCCTTCATCCGGCAGCGGTTTGACAAAGCACCGATGAAAGCTTATGATAAGCACATACAAAAGACACACACAATGTGTTGCGGTCCATTGGCCAATCTTCATTCGAGAGATCTATCAACCAACAGTAGCATTTGTTTAAGCAAGCAAACTCTGGACTGTCCATACGACCTTCTGAGTATCGTCAGTCATTGAGGCTTGTTAAACAAATGCTGCTAGGATCCACGTGTTTTTTAAGGGGGCAGGTGGGGTGGTTAGGCCACGTAAGTATGTTTTTTACTATAATAAAAACTATTTTTTGTCGTTCACCCCCCCCACCATGTGACAAGATTGCCACGTTCGCAAAGATATTACTATTATTATTCACACGTGGGCAATGCATCAATGGAATTCTGTCTAATAAAGCTTCCCTTCACCGGTGGGGCCACACTTTTCATGACGATCTGACATCAACGTACGACAATTCGCTCAATCTGATTGGACCGTCATCATTGCTTTGGCTGCGAAAACTTAGCTCTTAAAGTTGAACGCTGCTAGGTTGACGGATGTCATTGGAATTCTACCTAAATATTATTTTACCCAATTATGCTCCATCACAACAGTGCCGGCCTAACCTATCGACAAATAGGGAACAAAATATAACTAGTTTTGTATCATTGCATTATTATTGTTGTTGTTGTTGTTGTTTGGTAAGCCAGCAAGACTGAGTTGACATGCCACCTCGGTGGCAGTGAGTTCCTCGGCCATGTCAATACCAAATCCACACCAATCCAAAAACAGAGAAACTGATTCACTCTTCAACAATACCAAGACTGACTTTTGATTCTGTTAAATAACCCAATTTGTAACGATTGGCATTACCCTGTGTAATTATTGGCAAATGAATAGTCAGTTTGGTATATTACTTGATCTGATGCTTTTAGAATGCTACTTTTAGATCTGCCTTGCAAGGAATGTGGAGGCTTATGGTGTGGGTGGGGTGGTTCCGTTCAGGTGAGTGCAGTGGGGATTCCTTTTTACTCCAAAGTTGAATGTCTCCGTATTCAACCTTTTCCTGCCAAATGTATGACACACACGAGGTAATGGTTGTAGGCCGCGGGGTAATGCCGAGTACAAATCAAAAATCTTGCCACCAAGCCGCTGTATCCAGGAGGTCGTGTGTTCCATCCCGACCCTGATGCCTGTATATTTAGAGTTTGCATGTTCCCCCCGTAGTCGCGTGGATTTTTCTCCGGGTCCTCTGGTTTTTCCCTCCACATTTATAATCAACGTGAATTAACATGTCTTTTTGCTGCTAGAAAGTTCCACACGAAAAGCTACTTCGATGAGCTGTCATGTGTGATAGCCAGGTCGTTTCTGAAAGAAAAAAAAACATCTATATAGCTCAGTGGGCCTTAATTGGTTAAATTAAATAAATAAACATCTTTACAGTTCAATGTATATGGTATTGGCCAAACATCCCAATGCTGAAACACTGCCTTCAAATTACTCAATGGGGATTCCAGACATCAGCTCATTGCTCCCCATACTGCAAAAAACTTGGCAAAACCCTCCTGAAAACAAGCATAATAATAAAGATTGCGTCCTGGAGAGATACCCATCGGTAGTAATCCATTCACCCTGTGCCACCACCTGGCTACAGAGCAGCTTGGAAGATCAAGACAGACAACCAGGCATGCGGGGTGTCTTTCGCTCGCATTTTTTACATTCATTGCACTCTCACGTTATCGGCCTGAGCACTGAAGCGGTACAGCCGAGATCCTACTTCTAGTGAAATGGATTTCAACTACCAGTGTCTATATGTAGAAAGTTGTATGGTTTCAGCACCCATTCCTACACAAACCAAAAAAAAACAAAGATCCCCCGTAGAGCCTTCACAGACTGTAGGGGAAAGTGCGGTTAGCAAGCACATATGAAGGCCAGAACGGTACACGAGGGGGTGGGTGGCCAGCACCACGCCCGACCGCCTTTGTCTCCCCAGTGGCGATGTTTACTACACACCACACCAGGTACTCATTTGAGGCTGAGTCGACCTAGGGGAGGCCCAGGACCGGTTTAGATAATCGTCGCTGGTGTTGGCCGTGAGCAGGAATCGAACCCGGGTCGTTGAGTTCATAGCGCAGCGTAGCGCTAACCGCCACACTATCGCTTCCCACAACCCATCCCTACACACACACACAAAAGAGCACGTTACATTTGCCTTTTCACTCAATTTAGCCAAATTCTACCTCTGAGAAATCAAAATACTCCGTCTGCATTACCGCCACGCGACAAACGTTTGTCAGTTGGCAGGGCACGTGGCAGAGTGCAAAGCACCATCGTTTGGATGAAAGGGTCACGTGAAGGGATCTCAGAAGCAGTTCTGTGATATCGTCTTGTACGGGCCGTTCTCCAACACCAGGGGCAGTGCACCGCTCTGCGAGAGCTCCGAATGGACACTTCGTCTCTTGACATGGTAGCAATAGCACAGTTGGAATAAAACTGGTTGAAAGCCACACCAAATGCATCCTTACGCCAACGAAAACATTAACTAGACCCTGCGAAAGACACTCGCAGAGGTGCAGTCGTTTTATTTTACAAATGTATGGTGAAATTAAAAGGGAACTTTCAATTATAATTGCAGTCCCATTTAAACAATGAAAGCAATGTAATGCGTACACATTAACTCTATTTTACGCATGCGAAGTGCATAAATGACCTATCTGTTCAGTCTATTTACAACTAAGGAGTCCTTCCTCCAGTTCAGCTCCCAGTGCAGTTGTGACTCAGTCCTCAAGTGGGAGAGACGTTTAACACGTAGGCTTTCGCGACCAATATAATCCATGATACAGGTTATTTTTTGGCTTAGATTGTGAAAATATATAAAAGTGTCGTTAAACCCGCCACCACCCGACACAGCCAACTAGTAAGGTTTGTCACGTTAACAGAACGTGGCCAATTCGTCACTAGTACAGCAACACCGGTGTGTTGGAGAGCAAAGCCACAACATTTACAATCTGAGTACGACGTTTTGCCAATAATTACAACTAGCTTCATCAGGCAACAGCCAGATTTGTGGATACAT